TGCATCCAACCATCTTGTGTAGTTCCTACAACCTGCTTCTCACCACGCCTCTTTTCTAGTAAGTCGAAGAAGGAACGGAAACCCAAAACTGAAATTGGAAATCAGGTCAGCCCATTGCCAGAGCTCATTGCAGAACCAACTGATGCCCGATCCATGTCTTTTGTTGGAACTCATGAGTACTTAGCACCTGAGATCATCAAGGGTGAAGGCCATGGAAGTGCTGTAGATTGGTGGACTTTTGGAATTTTTCTATACGAGTTACTATTTGGTAAAACTCCTTTTAAGGGGTCTGGAAATCGAGCTACGTTATTCAACATTGTCGGTCAGCCACTTCGGTTTCCAGATGCACCGGTTGTTAGTTTTGCTGCAAAGGATCTGATAAGGGGATTGCTAGTGAAGGAACCACAACACAGATTGGCTTATAAACGTGGGGCAACTGAGATCAAGCAGCATCCTTTCTTTGAAGGTGTAAATTGGGCATTAATACGTTGTGCTACTCCTCCTGAAATCCCAAGGCCGGTCGAGATTGAGAGAATACCACATGCAGTGGCATCAACCAGTGAAAAGGCCGTTGCTATTGCAGCAGCAGCTGCTGCAGATAAAAAGGCTTCCGATAATTATCTTGAGTTTGATTTCTTTTAGAAAGAAATCCTTACACGTTACACAGGTTGTTCATCAATGAAAGCCTGCCTAAAAACATTTCTGTATGGCAGTGGAACCGATGAGGAAGAAGCATATTGATAGATGATGAAACACTGTAAGTTTGTTGTTGTCTTTTAACAGTTTCAAATTGATGTTGCACAAGTATTTAATGGATTCTTTGCTTTCCTCTAAAGGCTTGATTCATTAGAATGTACATGCTTAGCTATTTTCAGCACCAGGATCCAGACTATCTCCATAGGAATATCAATCTTTTGCATTCATCTAATCTCATTGAAGTTCATTTACATAGAAGTGATGATCCTTTATAGGCAGAAAGCACCAAAGAACATCAGTACCATAAAGCTACACAATCTTAGGCACAAGCGAGCTCCTAATATACTCCTTATACACGTAGCTCAGACAAACTTAGTTTTAAAACACATGCAAGAAACTGAATTGTTTCGTTGTTCTTGAGCTTCTGTAACGCTGGAATTAGGATCGTTATTACCCTTGGAGTTATCGGAGTTATCATCTTGGTAGCGAGGAGAACAGAGAGGAGAGGGCGATCCACCTAGTTGGCTCGTTTCTTTCCCTTCACAAACAATCTTTACCTCACAAAACCCCGGAGCTTTCTGAAGTACCTCATTAGCTATTCCGCTTCCCCCTCGAGATCTCGATTTCCTAATGATTTCCAATTGACAATGAAACAAAAACTTGAGTATGAGTATGTTGAGCTGATGAATTTGCTTCGACATCTAGAGAAAGGTACCTGGATCTGTTTACTCCAAGAACTAGCTTCCTTATATTGAGAATTGGAATAACATCCAAAATGGCCCTAGCCACCTTGTCACTCTCAATCAGCACAGTATCTGCCTTAACCTGTTTCATCAATAAGTGAGAAACAAAACAAAATCTCATACTCATTACCTTAGAAAAAACAGCCATTTCTTTTGAGTACCTTAGCTGCAGAGCAGGAGTCAATGAAACTCTGAAGAAAATCCTTCCTCTTGCTCTCTTCTTGTGCTACATGGATAGCCACTTGCTGTTTACTAACCTGATTTATTGGAATCTTTCCCACTGCCATCACAGAAACAAACACAGACCCTCATAGATTCATAATTATATCCAACAGTTTATGACTTTTCTGAACAGATTTCACTCCAAACGAAGATAAAAATCAACGTTCTGGAGTCTCTGTTCATCACTCATCCTCTGTTCAAGTCCAACAGAACCCAGAAATAAAGTTAAAAACTTTTGTCCTCTCAAACACATGATACTGTAGAACATAAGCATGCGCACAGACCACCAAAGAAGAAGAATCTGAAATAAAAGTGTCAAATACAAACAAAAGCATCAGAGCAGAGATTCTCTGCAAGCAGTAAATCATCCATCTCAGAACCATCCCCACCATGCCAAATGGCCCCTTTCTAACTTAAAGCTAAACCTCCAGACATAAGACTTTGACCATGAAAAGGAGAGAGAAAAAAGAAGAAGAAGAGAGAGAAAGAGAGAGAGAGAGCCATAGAAACAGAGTTATCAGAAATTACATGGGCTAGGAATGTAACGTGTTTCAGGGAAGACATGCAAAAGATAGACGACAGTGGTGGAAGCTGTAATGGCGTTCTTGAGCGTCCATTGAAGTGCATCATTACTGGAATCGCTTTTCTCCACTCCAACATAAACGCAATCTTCCCATTTCAGAGCATCCGACGAGAACGAACACCCACCACTGTAATCTTCTCTGATGCTCTCTAACGCCGCCGCTGCCGGCGAAACCATTTTCCGTTTAACCTCAAACGTCTCATCCTCTTCCTCTTTCTCGATCTCGCTTGTGCTGCTGCTGTACTTGTAATTGCCGAACTCACTTTCGAGCCCTTCATCGGAGTGGAAGAGCCTGGCCTCCGCCGGAGATGGCAACGCCGACATGGCCGATGAAGGTCGGGAATCAAAGTCGCCCAGATTTGAGAACACAAGGAAAAACCAGGAGGGCAATGTGGGTACCGTATTAACTCCCTTGTGGCGGGGCTCTGATTTTCCAACTTCTTGGAGTCATTTGGTTTGACTTTTTTTAGTACGGTCTCTTCCACCTATATTATGTGATTGTTTATAATGTCTCGACGTTGTATCTAACACGAACATAGTCGATCATAGCAAAACATAGCTTTAATGGTAAGACAATCCCGTTGAAGATTGTTAGGATAAGAGTCCATTACGTGAGATTATACTCAAAGTAGATAATATCCGTAGTTTCTAACAAATCTGACACGAACATAATTGAATACAATTTTAGTGATAAAAAAACATTTGATCATGATTAATTAGTGAAATTATTAATTCATCTCACCTGGGTCGAATATTTAAATTCCAATTAAATTGGAGTCAAAAAGGACGTTTAACAACGTTAACCTATATTTTTTTTTTTATTGTCTATTAACTTAATCAATTAAAAGTAATACAAATTTAATAAAATTAAATTTTACGTTTGAAAAACACTTTCATTTATAACGATTTAGGTACAAATTTGATCACGATTTAGATTTAGTAATTTATGACACATTTTATTGCTCATAATTTTATTGACTGACATACAAACAAAACTACATTAAATTTTAACAACTTTACATAATTGTAACGTCCCATATTATTTGGGAGGAGAACAAAATACCTTTTGTAAAATCTTTCCTCTATTTAAAACTTTGAGGGAAAGCCGGAAAGAAAACCTTAAATATGACAATATCTGCCGATCCGAAGTTACAATAGCAAAAATTAAATACTATTAGTTATTATTTGAAATTAAGTAGAAATTTTAAGAAATTAAAGTATGCATGTACGTATAGTGCTTATTTGTTTAATAAATTAATTATAATGGGCTGTATTTAAATTAAAACCCCAACGAATATTTATATACAGTCCAGAGATGTAGCTGGTTGTCAAAGTTGACATGGCACCAAAATACCATTGGAATATTCGAATATCAGATAATTTCCATTTTAATATTTCTATATATTTATTTTTCAAGTCAAATCTAATCATTTAATTTTTAACATTTTTTTCGACCGAAATTTAGTTTGTTGATGCTTGTCAATTTCAAACCTAATCGATTAAGATATAATATTTTTTTATCCACTCTTGTGTGACTGAATAAAAGAATAAATTTATCGAGACTTATCTTGATATTAATCATAGTTAAATATAAAAAAGCAATAGAAATATTGAATTTTCTTAAAATTCTTTTCTAATGATAAAACAAAAATTAAATTAAAAAATAATCAAAATATTGGAGAATAAAACATATATATATATATAACCTTTAAAAAACATATTTTTGTTTGGTATTTACAAAGGTTCTCATCTACTTTAGCAATCACTTGTGATTAACAAAGCACTTTATGAAGCCCAATTGAAAAGTAGCTGTTGAGGCCCATGAGGCCCAAAAGAGACTGGCCCAATAATGAACCTCTGATATATATTATAATAATAATAATAATAATTTGTTCAATATTTATTTTTAAGATTAAACAAATAGTATTTTTAAATATTATATATATATGAAGTTGATTGATGTTTACCAATGCTTTCAATAGTATTTTTCATAATAATAATAAATAATAAATAATAACAATAACAATAACAATATTATTATTATTATTATTAAAAAAAAGGTTATAAAAGTATTTTTCAAAATAATAATAATAATAATAGAATCAAAAGTGTACGTATAGCTACACCCCTTGGTTATATAGCCTTTATTTAAAGGAATCTTTCGGCTTTGGATTAAAAAAAAGCCACTTTCGGTTTGGTCAACTTTTATGTTTCTTCATATTGTTTATTACATTATATATTTTACTTTTGTTTTTCAACTCTTAAATTATGGAATATGTGGTTATTTATTTATTTATTTATATTAATATTTATAATAAAGTAGGTAAATTAAACTATATTATCAATAAAACCACGCACAACTTCCGGAGAGTTAGAGAAGATCATTTGTGATCGAATGGTTTGAAAACTTGACAAGCAAGTTGATTAGACTTACATGAATATGAATATTTGAGCTGGTACGAATGAATCTCATGCCTCTCAAGTGTAAAAGCACGGTGGAAACCAGTATCAAACAAGTAAAAAAAGACACGAGAATAGGAAATGAATAGAAAGACACAACAATAGGATTACATCAAAAACACAAAAAGTTCTAACGACTCGGTGATGGCACTTAAAAGGAGACAAAATGACAATTGGAATAAAGTAAACAAAAATGTATAGCATGTGCTGTAAAAAAAAAAATGGAATGAGAATGAGATTGACACATCTTTGTTTAATAAACGTAGAATGTGAATAAAATTACGAAATTTAGAAAGGGTCCCATATTCTATTCTCATTCTTCGATTTTCAATAAACAAATAAGACTGAGTTATCTTTTTAATTTAATAATTTGGTCTATATATACGTGTGTGTGTGAGAGAATTATATAGATAGTCCCGAGTTTCTCTACCCTATTACATTAATCTCAAACTCAAATGGTACATGATTCAAAGTCCCTAATTAACTCAAGAATCCAAGACTCACAAACCTTTGGCACTCCATCAAACATCTCTATGCAGTTTTCTCCGACATATTTGTGCGCCAAAGCTATCAAATTTCCTGGCTCTAGGCTCCAACAAGCAAGGGAATGGACATTTTCCCTGCACCTTTCCTATTCAAGAAGGTTCCCACGGTTTTGCTTTCCACAATTAACTGGCCACAGTGTTTGGGAATAAAAAGAACAAATGGAAGAAGAAAAGAACCCGAAATCAAATGGTGAAGGGCACATGCAAGGACCACTGGACGGCCGAGATTGTATGATTGTGATATATATTTTAGTGGAGAATACTGGAAAAGAATTACGGAAGAGAAAACTGGAAAGGGAAACAAACCAGAGCCAGCAACTTCGACACGAAGAACCCATTCAGAATGTAAGCAGCTCCTTTTTCCTCTTCTTTGCTTCATTTTTTAAGGTTCGTAGTGAGATTCCCACAAGACACTGATGACTTTTGCGTGAGCTTAACAGGCATTGAGAAGGACAGGGCCATAAAGAAGGGCGAGTCCGTGTGAGACCCCTTTGGTATTTAAACAGCAGCCTGGTCTCTAAAGGTTGTGACTTGCGAGATCTTAGGTTCACTTTCTTGTCCGGGCTCTTCTTGTATTCTAGCATCGTCATTCTCGTACTTGAGCTGGTTTTCAACCTTGAGTTTCAAGCCCTGCAGAGAGAAAAACAGAGAGAATTAGAGAAGCAGAAGCTTTGGCAGATTGTATTTAGCTTTGGTGCAATTTCTATTCTTCTTGAGAAGGACCAAATGGGTGTCAATCCTCAGGACGCGATCAAGAAGCTCAAAGTTCTGATGGATCAAGGTCAGATGATCAACTCTGTTTTCTTCAATTCCAGTTCTGAAAACTTCATTCCCTAATAACCATTTGTTCTATCTGTTTAATTTCGTCACCTGCAGTTGATCACTCATCGAAGAAATCCTTTCAGGTTCGCCAGCTTTCTTCTTCTTCTTCTATCCTCCATCTTCTGTATGCGACCTGCAAGTTCTAAGAGCTTAAAATGCTGTTAGTTCTGTTGGGTTGAAGCCCAAATGACCTCTTATGAAACTTTTTGTAAATGACATCGAATGATCTATTTGCAGAATGTTCATCAAGGATTCTTAATAGAAACGCTGGACCGTTTCCTAAGGGCACGAGACTACGATGTTGGCAAGGCCCATAAAATGGTTAGACGCATGTTTTTGGTTGAACTTCTGTAAACATCAAACTGTCATATGCATTACTAAGATATGCTGACAAACCATTCCTCTTTAATGTTGCAGCTGGTTGACTGTTTAAAATGGAGGGTGGAAAACCAGATTGACAAGATATTAAGGGTAAGTGTTTCAACGGCTCGTTTACTCGATGGCTCCCAATTCTTTTCTTGACAGCATTTTATTGTCTGCAGAAGCCAATATTTCCTGCTGATGTCTATAGATCAGTGAGAGATTCACAGCTCGTAGGACTTTCGGGCTACTCAAAAGAGGTCTGAGTTTTGTTAACCAATGTCTGTCTTGTTTAACCAGCCATCCCTGTAATCTTAGGATACCTTGTTCTAATGAGATTAGCATATAGCCAGCCGTTCTAACCTACAACTTGTTCTGTTTCACCTCAGGGCCTTCCCATATTTGCCATTGGTGTTGGGCTCAGCACATTAGACAAAGCACATGTAAGTATTCGCAGTTCAGTTCATCTTCCAAACGAATAATTGACCCTTTCGTGAATTTCGATGCCACAAACAGCAGTCTAGATTTTGAAAATATGTACTTCAAAAACCAGAGAGAAATTGAGAAGCTTGTCAAGTTTACTAACCGGTGTTTTGATCTCTTCACAGGTGCATGATTATGTGCAGTCGCACATACAAATCAATGAGTATCGAGATCGTGTTATTCTGGTGAGTTTCTGAATTCTGGGATTCAAAAGAAGCTTCTCTCCTAGTATCATTAACACGTACATTTTGCTGTAGCCTTCTGCATCAAAAAAGTATGGAAGGCCCATCACTACCTGCGTGAAGATTTTAGATATGACTGGTCTGAAGCTTTCGGCACTTGGCCACATAAAGGTATTCTCTTTTCCTACAATTGTCTCCAATAGATGTCAGTGCAAGTTAAATATAGCCATGTAAATCTGATTCCGTTTCTTGTGGTTCTGATTGGTCTAAATTAATGACAAATCCGCACAATAAGATCAGAAAGTTAAATTCTTTAGTTTGAATCCATTTATCACAAATCAAGTTCACACTGGATCGTGGGATTTTGAGGGAAAAAAAAGAAGAAAAAAGAGACGAAAAAGAAAAGATTCAACGCATATCATTTTGTTTATAAAATCTGTTGTCTGGAGGAATTTCTTTCTGACCATCATTTTAAAACAAGACCATAATGGTGAGGAACATATTCTCCATAATAAGCTATAGTAAAGTGGAAAGAAAACTTATGATGTGTTTTGATACCTTAAATATGCAATTTATGACTAGCAAATCAAGGATTTCCCAAATCTCTAATGATCATGCAACCGCTAATGTCTCATGTTTCTGCAGTTCCTGACAATTTTATCAACCATTGATGATCTGAACTACCCAGAGAGAACAACTGCTTACTACATTGTAAATGTACCTTACGTCTTTTCATCCTGTTGGAAGGTAAACCATTGAAGAGACTGATCTTGGTTGATTTTGTACCTTGAGTGTTGAAATAATTTTTCCTTCAACACCTGTCTGATGTGTATAGTCATGTATTCTCTTTGATATTGCAGGTTGTCAAGCCTCTCTTACATGAAAGGACAAGGAAAAAGGTTCAAGTGTTACCAGGCTGCGGGAGAGATGAGCTGTTGAAGGTAAGGCCTGCATCATTTAAAGAATGAAAAAATGGCTGACTCTTATCAAACATAAAAGCTCTTTTTTGGCCTGCTTGAATATATTATAAATAAAATGGACCACTACATGTTTTTTTATACAAAAAGTTTTGACATTTCATTTGACAATGGAAGCTAGAATCAAGTTTTCCGAAACATTCCATAAAGAATAACCTATCGAGTGTATAAAGCAAGGTACATATGCTATTGTTAGACAATTAAGAGTGGCAAGAGTAGTGTTAAACACTAGTGGGGGAAATACAATAATCAAATAACGGGATTCTCTACCATATGCAAGTGATGATGCTTTAATTGTTCTCTATTTCTTGTAGATAATGGATTATACCTCTCTTCCACATTTCTGTAAAAGAGGGAGCTCATTGTCCTCCCGATCATCGGCTCATCAAGGAGGCAATAATTGCTATTCCTCGGACCACCTTTTTCATCAACAGCTATACAGCTACATCAAGCAACAATCCATGATCAATGAACCTACTGAGCCCATTAGAAAAGGATCTTTTCATGTAACCCTTCAGGCATCAGCATCAAAAAGCAAAGGAGCAGCTAAAACTATTGAATCTGAGTTTCGGAAGTATGAGAATGGGATTTCTGATACACTGATTGAACTGGAAATAATGTAGTGATTGAAGCAAAAGCAACTTTTGAGATGAATTTCTTTCATTGATGGTGCATTCCTTCACTGAGGAGATGGAAAGGAAAATCTGGCTTTACTGATCCTAACACTATAGCCCTATGGGCAGTCCCAGTTCCGTAATGGCAACATCCATAGTCGTGTCAGAAATCCACCTCTAAAGCAATGGAGAGTCATATTCAAGATGTATCTTGAAACGTGCCTGGTTGATATATAAAGTTCGCTCCTTAATATATAGCCTTTTCACGGCTAATTTTTAAGTATCACTTGGTTTTATTATCTGAAACCACATAATTACTTGTATTCAAAGTTTCTAGTCTTAAAATTTAAGCTATTGCACATACATTATAGAGATTAAAGTGGCAGATTAAAAGATGAATTTGAATTTGGATAATTGTGGGGGTTTAGTTGAAAGTGAACCATCGGTGAGAATATAAACTGCAATGAGAGACAGGGAAGCTACCATATTAGATGAGCCAAGTTAGAAAGTGGAGCTCTTCCCCCTTGCATTGATCTATGAAAGAAATGTCCACGATAAACAAGGAAAAAAACATACCAAAACCAATGGACGCCCATTCCAAGATACATCCACTTGGAAAAGATGGACATTCCTACAATAATCCTGTATTAACTTCAAGATAAATCAACAAACGTGCCTGAAAGTAAGGTTGATGCGGGTTGCCTCTGCCTTGAGGCGCTTAGGCACTGAATGCATCCAATCTCGTTGAGTGTAGCCTTTCATAACCAAAAGCGAACCATGCTTTAGAACAAAAGAGTGTGTATCAGCCACACTGCTTTTCTTTGATTTCTTGGCTGGAGGTTCTTCATCGTTCCTTCCTGGGGCCACATCAAATAAACCATAAGATAATGAAACTTTTTGGAGTGAAGAAATCAATTGAGCAAAAGAATGAAGATTTGACAAAAGAGCTTTTCAAAATCAGAACAAAGACGAGAAAAACAGATGAACTAGACCGCATACGTTGAGAAGTTTTATTGGACTTCTTTTTCAACAAGAAATCTCGCTCACATCCAAATGATACAGAAGCAATCTCCTGGTTCAATGCATAAAGCTTTTCATCGTCAGAATGCCAACCCACATAATCATTTCCACCTTTATATCTATTCAAGAGTAAGCTATTAAAACTACTCCCCGGTAGAGCTTCGTGAACCTTGACAGAGAAAAAGTGAAGACAATTAGGAACCACTAGAAACGTCATCGAGAACCTGTAGCTAAAGAAGCCAAAAAGAAAACCCAATAGGGAAAGATTGAATCAAAATATCTTACAGCATTCAAAATGTCCTTGAGAGGAGGAAAATCATCCCAAGTATAGGCATGAGGTTTATACCCACTATAACTATACGTCGTCAATCCAGGATTCACAACGTAACAAGTATCTCTAGGCTGCATATTAGAAAATGCAATAGCTCTTCAGAAAGAACGCAAAATCCCGATATAAAGAATGGCGGGAAAGAAGGAAAATCATCTAAGACAACCAACAGCCAGTCGTTAAATCTTCAATTGCTAATTAGGTTGACAATGAACTAAACGAGAGAACATAATCGAGAGAAGTAAAGACCTGGACGACGGAGCGACCGAAGACGCGAATCGTCGGTCTAGTCCATGGAATGTGTTGATTGAGAAAATCGAACCAGGTCCAAGCCTGATCAGAGGACACGAACTTGCTAATATAGACGATTTCGCTTCCGTTTCCGAGATCCAATGTCTGTCGCCTCCCTAAATCTAAAGGACGAGGGATCTTCGTCTCCGATTCTGAGTCGATCACTTCTTTGAACCTCAAACTCATTCTGCCAAATTCTTCATAATTTACAACAAGGACAACGATCATGTTTACAATTTATTTAGTTCATGCTGTCGTTTCGTTTCTTTTCGTCTTTTTTTTTCCCTCAATTTTCTTAAATTAAAATTATAATCGAATTACAATTTTACCCCCAACATAATTTTTATTAATTCATCCGCTAATTTATCCAAAACTCATTAATAGAATGGTAAACAAGTTTGGCACGAAATTATGATCCAAACTTTCAAATTTTTGTTTAATTTATAATGAATTATAAATTTTAATCAATCACAAATTTATGAACGATTGAACAAACCAACGTGGTCAACTTGGGTCATATGACGTTTGGCTAAGTTCAAATGAGCCCAAAAAGTAAAAAGGACCCAACGAACTTTAAATCCAATAGATTCAATCCAAAAATCATCTAAACGTAACTTCACACTACTTAAGACCAAAAGAGTTCCGGAAAATAGAAAACTTGTTCTAAAACTTTTAGTTCAAGAACACTTCGACATTCCACCCCTTCAAATAAAACACGTGTAAGAGAAAATCGGTCCAACGTATAAGATCAACGACTGGGAGGTTGATCCAACATACAAAACGACGAACAAAACGGTTCGAAGGGTTATCAACAAGTTAAAAGGAGATGAAAATGTCTATTTTAGTTTTTATTATCTAACGAATTTCTGAGAGAGGATGAAGGATGATGGTCAATTATCCATGTCTATAATATTATCCAACTACGAGAATGGACTTTCCAAGCCTATTCACTATATCCATTCCCATGAAAAACCCACCAAGCACACACTAACACAAGCTTCAGACACTAAACCTGCCTCATTCTACTCGTAATCACTTGAAACAGTAGGCTGCAGACAGATCAAAACTATGGAAATGGAAGCAATTTACAGGCTACCCCATAACTCGAGGCCGAGAACTTCCCGTAATCTTTATCTGGACGGCCGACCAGGTTGATCGATGAACTTGATCTTTAGCTCTATTTCACCAGATTCTACGTCACGAAGCTTCAACCAAACGCTCTGTGTTACGCCCCCTCCCTCCATGCAACTAATGCTGCTGTCCCTTGCTAGGCAGTTATCAGTGTCTGGAGTAACCTTTCTTAACATTGTTGCCCCCAATGAAATTCCAAGAGCCCGTCTCAATCGAGCAGCCGAAACTATCGGTTTAAGACTCAGCTCGGCATGTCCCATCTTGTCATCTGACTTGAACCGATCTTTGTCAAACACTTCCTGCAGAAAGAACGTAAATTTTTTGTTGCTTTGAGTTATTCATACTAGAGGATGTGTTGTTTACTCCCACAAAAATAAATGATCCGTAGTTTCTTCTTTCTGAAACAAGAAATCATCAAACATTGTTCTAATTTCATTTCGAGTACTTCAGTCCCAGGAATAGATCAGAATACCGAGCTATAGAGTATGATATAAGACTATACGCAAAGACGAATGAACAATCCAGAACTTTTTTTTTCCTTTGTGACAGTCTAAGCCCACCGCTAGCAGATATTGTCTTTTTTGGGTTTTCCCTTCAAGGGCTTTCCTTCAAGGTTTTAAAACGTGTCTGCTAGAGAGAGCTTTCCACACCTTTATAAGGAATGTTTCATCCTCCTCTCCAACCGATGTGGGATCTCACAATCCACCCTCCTCGAGAGCCCAACGTCCTCGCTGACACATCACTCAATGCCTAGCTCTGATATCATTTGTAACACCCCAAACCCACCGCTAGCAGATATTGTCCTCTTTGAGTTTTCCCTTCCAGAGTTTCCCCTCAAGGTTTAAAACGTGTTTGCTAGGAAAATGTTTTCACACCGTTATAAGAAATGTTTTGTTCTGATCTCCAACCGACGTGGGATCCACAGGGAACTTTGATAACACAAACATAAGATAGCCTAGCTAGCAAAACAATATGCACTTTTCACTGACCACAATTAGTTTAATACTTGTAATGGTATTAATGAATTCCCATATTGAAATAAGCCATCATAACCACACTTCTTTTGCATAACCAAAATCCTTGCTTATGTACAAATCATTACAGCCTGATGGAGACAATCTGTATAATTCATTACGGCCTAATGGAAGATATCAATTCAAAGTTATGCAACTTTGGAGAAAAAGGCAATGGATGAGCAACGGAGAAAATGAGAACAGGGACTATCTCAATGAACACAGACAACAATAGGTCAAAAAACTGACAAGCAGAATCTTACTAATGTCAGATCTTTGACAGGTTGGGTGAGGGAGAAGCTCAGCTCTTCATTCCAAACAGGGTTAAGGCAGCTATTGATAACTTTGGTCTTGGCTGTCTGAGAAACAATGTAATGAAACAAAATTATTTAACAAACCACATCAGAGCACAAGGGTGATAGAAGAAGGCAAGACAAGAAATGACCTGATTGCCCAACTTGACAACAACATAAGGATCGCTGCTCTTGAAATCACGAATTACTAGTTTCTTCCCTTGAATCACAAGCACTTTAAGCAATCCCAACCTCTCGCTAGTTGATTCACTTTCCATAGCAATGGCAGCATCCAACTAACAAGAAGCGTATAACAGGGTAGCTTCAAAACGTGTAGAAGCACCAGAAAAGCTGCAATTAAAAGCCAAGATGATGGATTTTAAAGTAAAATAAATGACCAAACATTTGTGCCCATTAAATCAAACGACCAAAGAACCACATTTCAACCATTTCTTGCATCTATACAGAGCGATCTGAGTACATCTACACAAGTTCACAGAAACAAGAAAAGGGAAAACCCCAAAAACCCCAGAAATCAAAACGAAAGTAAAGAAGATACCACTCAGAGAAAGAGGCAGAGATGGAAGAGGGCTTAACCAAGAACCAGGCAAGTGAGGTTTGAAAGGAAAATAAAGGGTTATTATGGGTTGGTGAAGGGTGTCATTTCGTCAAACAGTTGAAGGGCGGAGTGATAAAAAGAACCAGTTTCAAAGGGAAAGGGAAAAATGATGGTCTGGGAGAGCGAGATTTTGACTAGAAACAGTCGTGGATGGTGGCCCATAGTGAGTTTTAGTTTGACGGGAGTAAATGATTTGGACAAGCATGTTTGAAAAGTAAAAGCAATGCGAAATTAAAGAGAGATCCACGATGAATTTAGTATCTTTGTGAGGGGTACCTGACTTTGCTGCCATGTGGACTGATTAAAGAGGGAAAAAGTGGGATGGGTGTGGTTGGAAAGAGACAGTGACTCAATGAAGGAAGGTCCATCCTCCACCATGTACGCTTTGAACTTTGAATTACTCGAAATTGCAGAGGATGAGGGCACTACCAAGGAGAAGAAGAAACACACGTGCGCTGACACCTGGATGTAGGGTTTATGCTTATGTGGATTTTTATATAAAAATAATGCAATTAACAACAAAGTCTACCGCAAACAACAGGTATTGTCCAACCAGTTACGTGTCACCATCAGTCTCCTCTCCAACCGATGTGGGATCTCTTAATCCACCTCTTCGGGGCCAACATCCTCCTAAGACCATCTCTAGCAGATGTGGTCTACTTTGATCTGTTGTACATTCACCGTTAGCTTCACAATTTTAAAACGCATCTATTATAGCGGATAGTCCAACCAAATTCAAAGTCACCTTACTTTACCTTTGACCCAATCCAATGGCAAATTGAACTTGACCTCAGCTGAACCCTACATTCGTTTTCACATTAAGTTTCTTTCGCCTTGCACTCTTTCTTGTCATTTTTCTTTTATAGTACTTCCTGTATTTATTGCGTCTAAATTTATTCATAATTAATATTTTTTTTGTAATTGAATTAGTTAGTATAACAATTCAAACTCATCGCTAGTAGATATTGTCCTCAAGGTTTTAAAACATGTCTGTCATTCAGAGATTTTCGAATCGATGTAAGGAATATTTCATTTCCTTCTCCAACTGACGTGAGATCTTATACCTTCAGAGGAAAGCCTACACTTGACAATATTTACTAGCTATGGACTTGAGTTGTTACAAATAATATCGAGCTAGTCATAAGATAGTGCGAGACACTAGGTGGAGTAGGGCTAAACTCTCTCCATAATAAACGCATTTTAAAATCGTAAAGCCGACGATAATACGTAACGGGCCAAAGGTGAAGATATGTCTCTTCAATACTTTTATTTGTTTGATGTTCCTATATAAAGCCAAGATTGAAAACTTTTTAAAGACAATTATATGTAGAACGTACACTGATTTTGTAACCATTATGAACTTTTTGTTCCTTGTTTTTATCCAATGATGTGATCTTTCAGACAATAGAATCCAACACTACTTTTTTTATTAATTATCAACTCTTTGTTCGTTTATAAACACACTTAAATTATTTAATCACAATAACCCACCAAAGTTAACGCTTAAATCCTTCGTTTAATTAAAAATATAATCTTCATCAAAAGAGATTAACGAACTGCACAATATTCAAAGCAGTGGGGCGAGTTGCGCCGACGTGGGCGCGCGGTAGCCTCTTAGATTTTGGAAATAGTGGTTAAGAGTGTCATTTTCGTATTAATTTTTGGGTATCAATCAAAGGGAATCGACTAGTCCAAACAAACTCCCAGAAAATTAAGCAGAACAACGAGGAATTGGAGCAATACAGGAGACTGCGGAGGCTCAATGATCAGATCCCTTTTGTTTTCTTCCACTTTTGTGCCGATTTTCAGAACCACTCGGACATCTCCCTCCAACTTTCTGGGATTTCATTGCCTACCTTTCTCTGCCACTGCTCGCTTTACACTCGTATCTGTTCTTCACTGCCCAGGTTCTGATTTTCATATTTGTGTCCTTGTCTCTCGATTTAGTGACGTTAATGGACCTGAAAATTTGAGATGTTTTATTAATGCTTCTTGGGTTCTTCGTAAACTTTGGTTGTTATGTAGGAGTTGGAGGTTCTGGTACATTGATTATTAATGTGTTGCGTTTATGTTGGCTGTCTAGAACGATGAAACGAGTGTTTGGCTAACTTTTAGTTCACTCTCGATTGTATCAATCAGTTTAAATGTTTGTCTTGCTGTTGTTTGTTTATGTTTTCAATACCCATCTGGGAGTCATAGTTTTGGAACGAACTCAGTTATCTTGATACAATAAGATACCATAAGAGCTCAACCTCACTGCTAAAGAATGCGTTTGTTAGGGAGAGGTTTCCACACCTTCATAAACAATGTTTTGTTTCCTTCTCTAACCGATGTGAGATCTCATAATTCACCTCATAAAGAATGTTTTGTTTCCTTCTCTAACCGATGTGAGATCTCATAATTCACCTCCTTCGAGGCCAGTGTCATTGTTGTCACACCATCCGGTGTCCACCCCTTTTAGGGCTCAGCGTCCTTGCTGGCACACCGCCTGGTGTTCGACTCTGATACTATTTGTAACAGCACAAGTTCACCGTTAACAGATATGGTCCTTTTTGAGCTTTCCCTTTCAGACTTCCCCTCAAACGCTTCTACTAGGGAGAGGTTTCCACACCTTTATCAAGAATGTTTTGTTCCTCTCTCCAACCGAGGTGAGATCTCACAATTCACTCCCTTTTGGGACATCGCTAGCACACTATCCGGTGTCCACCTCCTCTCAGGGCTCAGCATCCTCGCTGGCATGCCGTCCGGTGTCTGGCTCTGATACCATTTGTAACAGCTCAAACTCACTGCTAAAAGATAGTCTTTTTTGGACCTTTTCTTTCGAGTTTCCACTCAAGGTTTTTAAAATGCGTCTACTAGGGAGATGTTTCCATGCTCTCGTAAAGAATGCTTTGTTCCCCGTTTGATCAGCTTCTGTTTTGTGAATGAGAATCCACTGAACTGTTCCTGTAATGGAGAGTTTAGCATGAAACTAATTGATTGTTATGTTACCAGGCATTGGGGTCAGAAATCCAGCTTCTTTTTGCAGCAATTCCCTTTCAGTTTCTGCTAAGCCAACATTGTTTATGGAGGAAGTCCCAGCTGCAAATGAGGTTCAACTGGTTGAAGTACTTGATGCAACCAACGATGATCATGGAGGCGTTCTCGTGGAAATGGATAAAGCTATGGACTCTGAGGTCTTTGTGCCCATCCTTAGAGCTTCAATTTCACATTGGAAACAACAGGTTGATGAGTTCAGTAGTAAACTTTTCTGCCCCTTTTGTTTACACACCTTCAAATGCTATCAGGACATGCTTACTCCATCTTCATTTCTTTGTCAACTGGACTATGGTAGGCAAGCTTTTGCTTTTGCTTCAAATTTTAATGCCGCTCTAAGAAGTAATGAATGTTTGTTTTGGATTTTGATACATCTGCCATTTCTTTTGACTTCCTTCTTGAGCATGTGATCTCCACCATCCGAACCGCTAGTAGATATTGTCTACTTTGGCCCGTTATGTATTGCTGTCAGTCTCACGGTTTTAAAACGCATATACTAAGGAGAAGTTTCCACACCCTTATAAGTAATGTTCCGTTCTCCTCTCCAACCAATGTGCGATCTCATAACCCACTCCCCTCAAGAGCCTAGTGTCTTCGCTGGCACACCACCCGGTGTCTAGCTCCGATTCCATTTGTAACAGTCCAACCCCACCACCAGTAGATATTGTCCACTTTGGTTTGTTACGTATTGTCGTCAGCCTCACAGTTTTAAAACGCGTCTATTAGGGAGGGGCTTCTACACCCTTATAAGAAATGTTTCGTTCTCCTCTCCAACCAATGTGGGATATCATAATCCACCCCCCTCGAGAGCCCAGTGTTCTCGCTGGTACCTCCCGGTGTCTGGCTCTAATATCATTTATAACAACCGAAGCCCACCGCTAGGAGATATTGTCCGCTTTGACCCGTTACGTATTGCCGTCAACCTCATGGTTTTAAAACGTGTCTACTAGGGAGAAGTTTCCACACCCTTATTAGAAATGTTTCGTTCTCCTCTCCAACTAATATGAGATATCACAATCCACCCCCCTCGAGAGCCCTGTGTCCTTGTTGGCACACCGTTCGTTGTCTGACTCTAATATCATTTATAACAGTCCAAGCCTACCGCTAGTAGACATTGTCCGATTTGGCTCGTTACGTATCGCCGTCAGCTTCACAACTTTAAAACGCGTCTACTAGGAGAGGTTTACACACCCTTATAACGAATGCTTCGTTCTTCTCTTCAATCAACGTGGGATCTCCAAATGAATTTTCATTGAGACTCCCCGAGTGTTGAAAATTGTCCTCTGTACCAGAGAATTCAGTGTTCTTTTGCTCCAATGCTGGTTTGTATCATTTGCATGAAGATACTCTGGCGCTATGTCAACTAAACTATTCATATTTTCTCCTGTTTATATTCATGATGAGCAAATCTTTTGCAGGGCAAAAAAGGTGTTTGGCTTAAACTGCCCATTGAGCTTGCTAACCTGGTTGAAGCTGTTGTTAAGGTGATATTCTGATAACAGTTCTTTAGATCGTTTTAACAGTAGATTTAGGAACTTGCACTTTCAAGTGCTGCAAGTAATTGTTTCTATTCTCTATATTTTCCCTTCTTTTAGGAAGGATTCTGGTATCACCACGCAGAGCCAAAGTATTTGATGCTAGTGTACTGGATACCGGAATGTGCTCATACTCTTCCTGTCAATGCTACCCATCGAGTTGGCGTCGGTGCATTTGTTTTGAACGACAATAAAGAGGTACATTTCCAGATCCCACATCAGTTGGAGAAGGAAACGAAGCATTCCTTATAAGGGTGTGGAAACCTCTCCCTAGTAGACGCGTTTTAAACCCGTGAGGCTAACGACGAACAATATCTATTAGCGGTGGGCTTGAGCTGTTACATCTTGTGTTTGTTGTTCCATCTGAATCTATGTTGTGATGTGTTGAAACTTTTGTTATAGGTACTCGTGGTTCAGGAAAAGAGTGGAGTGTTACGAGGGACTGGTGTATGGAAGTTTCCCACAGGAGTTGTAGATGAGGTAAGGAGTTTTGGATACGCTTTGATTCCATTTCTGCATATAAATATAACTAAAATCATTGAGTTGCTTCATTTGACGGTATCAAGGGGGAAGATATATGCAAAGCTGCTGAGAGAGAAGTGAGAGAAGAGACTGGTGTAAGTTAAATAAGCTGCATGATCGAATAAAGCTATATTATCTGCTCATCAGTTGTTCATCATGTTTGTCTCAGTAAGAGTTATCTTAAAGTTTCCAGGTTTATTCTTCTACAGATTGACACAGAATTCGTGGAAGTTTTAGCGTTCAGGTATGAAGGATAATTGTAACGGCCCATGTCCACTGTTAGTAGATATTGTCCGTTTTGGTTCGTTACGTATAGCCGTCAGCCTCACGGTTTTAAAACACGTCTGCTACTTATATAGAATACTTTGTTCCTCTCTCCAACTGAAGTGAGATCTCACAATCCACCCCTTTTGGGGCCCAACGTCCTCCCTGACACTCGTTCCCCTCTCCAACTAATGTGGGATCTCACAAGTGCCCCGCATTCTCCCTGACACTCGTTCCCTTTTCCAACCAATGTGAGATCTCAAAAGGGCGTAGTGTACTCCCTGGCACTCGTTCAGTGTCTGGCTCTGATACCATTTGTAACAATTCAAGCCCATTGTTAGCAGATATTGTCCGATTTCGCCCGTTACGTATAGCCGTCAGCCTCACAGTTTTAAAACGCGCCTGCTAGGGAAAAGTGTCTACACCCTTATATAAAGAATGCTTTGTTCCCCTTTCCAACCGATGTGGGATCTCACAATCCACCCTCTTTGGGGCCAGCGTTCTCCCTGACACTTGTTCCCCTCTCCAACCAATGTGGGATCTCACAAGGGTGCATCGTCCTCCCTGACACTCATTCGGTGTCTGGCTCTGATACCATTTTGTTACGGCCCAAGCGCACCACTAGCAAGTATTGTCTCCTTTGATCGGTTATGTATAGTCGTTAACCTCACAATTTTAAAACGAGGGAGAGGTTTCCACACTCTTATAAAAAATGCTTCTTTCCCCTCTCCAACCGAGGTGTGATCTCGCACTAACATTCTTTTTACTATTTTATATCCCATTCAAATTTTTGCAGACAGACTCACCAAGCATTCTTTGGGAAATCAGATCTGTTCTTCGTTTGCACATTGAAACCTCTAACCTTTGAAATAAGCAAGCAAGAACTCGAGATAGAGGATGCGCAGGTACGTCCCGGTTCACTAGGCAATGTTTATACGTTACATCGACATGTCGATGAAACAGATCGAATCGGCTCTTAGTAAGCATAAGCTACAAACTTGATGCGCATATCATAGTACAACATCATCAGTTGTCTTAGAAACTTATTAGACCTGTCTGAGTGTTCTAAATATTTCTGGTGAAATAACCATCTTTTCTAGTTAGTTCAATTGCAATGCTGAATAGTCCTTACAATTGTTGCAACCATTGTCGTTGCAGTGGATGAAATTCGAGGACTACACCGCTCAACCGTTACTCCAAAAACACGAAGTATGGAAGTGTATCAACAACATTTGTGTCACAAAGATTCAGCAGCAGTATTCTGGATTTTCTCCTGTGCTCACTTCCACAGCGTTTTCGAGCAAACAAAACTTCTTGTACCTAAACGAACACGACATGAACAGGCGGTGAGGTCTCGTCGTCAATCCTTGATTGATACATTTTGCCAAGTAGCATCAATCTTGTTTGTTTGCTTCTTAATCTTTTCTAGCTATTGGACCATACCTTTGTTTCTGATACTCAAAACTGCATAAGTTCACACTTTCAGTGATTTCAAAATACATTGCTACAATTTTCTATGCAGTTTCTGATAGTATTTAAAGTGGAACTATGAATTTGACTGCTGTGTTCTAATTTGATTCAAAAAGCTATATAATTAAATGATACTCATTTCAAACCATCATGATAATGTACAAGAACTTTCAAGATTCCAAATGAGAAACAAAGGGTAAATTCCCATAAACCAAGAAGAAAAAGAAAGGCAAAGAGTAATAAGTTCGTGTGGAATGAATAAAAGTATAAAACTTTGTCATTTTCACTGCGAACCCAGTTTGGGTTCATTTTGGAAATATGTGATTTTGATGAGTAAAAGGGAAGAAATAAGGTTTAGAACGTGGCAGCCACGATTGAGGAAAAGAAAGCATCAAAGGGAAGCTGTAAATTAGCTAAAGTAAATGGATGGAGGCCATGGGTGGGGATCGGGAGCAGGACGACTTTGTCAACCATGACGTGACGATGATTCCTGTTATCCTTAAAAGCCCATCAACCTTGGGCCACCATTCGATCTTCCTGACTCATCGGAGAAAAGATTAAGAAGGTTAATCTTTGCGCTTTGTTCTTTTTAGCATCCTTCTCGTAAGAACACATATCCGAATCCTTCAATTTGTTTGGGTTTTCAATTTTATGCCACTTTGATTTCCTTGCAATTTCTGCGGATGAACTATGAATCTTAGGATTATGAGGGTTTCTCTGTTTATGTCGTCCCTAATCACTTGATTGTTCTTTTTCTGTGGAGAATCGTTTTTCCACCCATTTTCATTCTTTTTCGCCCACCCACAAAGGATTCCGGGTTTTATTTATTTATTTATTTATTTACTTTCCATTTATTCTTGTTCGTATTAATGGGGAATGTGAACGGGAGAGAAGATGAGGACGCTAATCCATCTGGGGTTGAAGAAGAAGATGAAGAAGTCGGTAGCCGACGGAGGAGTTTGCCGGACGGCCTGGCTGCGCCTCCTGATGCTCACCTTGACTACCTCACTGGCGATCCGCCTACAGAGCTGATGGGTCATTCTCCTCCTCGTAGCCCTCGCGCCATTCCATCTCCATTGATGTTTACTCCCCAAGTGAGTTAGTTCCCTGAATTTTGCCTTTCATTCCTGGTCGTGAATTCCTCCAGTTCATTGAAAATTGATATACGGTGGGGATGTTTGGTGTTGTATGTAATTGGAAATTCCTTTCGTTTCCTTTTTCGATAAGTTTCTTGCGAGGAATCTTGGCCTTTTCGTGTCGCTACTTTACCTGCACGGTATGTGTTTGATGTAAGTCCTACATGAATAGATGGACGATTTGGTGAATCTACAGGGCTATTGTTACACTATAATTCTCTGTGCAAATTCGATCGACTGCCTCTTATCTTTTATCTTCCCATTTCAGTGTTGTGCTGTATAAGCTTTCTTGAATCTTTGTCCAGAATGCATCTTGATTTTAGGGTTCAAAATACGCTTGAACTTTGGTGTAGATTTCAATCATGAAAAAGCACCTTGGATAGTTTTCTGTAATAATAAAAACTGGAAAGTGTTCATAGCATCATTTACAATTCAAGCTCAACTATATAGAGATTAAGATCATTGTTAGTTTCAAGTTAAAAGATGTTCATATCGTTAACTCAACCAACATGAACGATATTATAAACGATGGCGTACAAATTTTCATTCACCATTTTAATGAAAAAGTCTCTATAGGTATTTTTTGGAACAGTTTCAATATTATAACTCATCTAACTTGCAAATTCACTTTGAATGCCTAGAAAGTTACCCATTTTGGATTCTGGAAAACAGTCAAAGATGCTGTTGAGCTATAACCATAATGTTCCTCTTCAGTTTTGATCAATAATGTTACTATAGATTGAGCTGTGAATCATTCTGTGATCTCTGCACTGGTTTCTTTTCTTCAGTGTCTGACCTTCTGTCCTTGCGAGCCATGATTTTGAGTACTTCTATCTGTCTTAACAGGTACCGGTTGTTCCACTGCCAAGACCTGATGAGTTGCCCAATTCAAGCGAGTCCTGGATGAATAACAGTTCGTTGTTTGACGACGTGAGCAGTGAACAAGGAATCCCAACGATGATTACCTGGAGTCATGGAGGCAAGGAAGTAGCTGTTGAGGGATCTTGGGACAACTGGAAATCGAAGTTTGTTGCTCTGTTCTCTCAATTTGTAGTTCGTTTCTTACTCGATTGACTGACCGCCATCTGATACCCAATGTCTTCTTCCTGATCAGAATACCGTTGCAGAGATCTGGGAAGGACTTCACGATTATGAAGGTTTTGTCTTCTGGTGTTTACCAGTATAGGTTTATTGCTGATGGACAATGGAGATATGCTCCTGACTTGCCTTGGGCCCAAGATGATGCAGGCAATGCTTACAATATCTTGGACTTGCAGGTAAAAATCTCTTTCTTGTTGACCATCTCATACCCTCTTACTATCCTGATATGAAAGTTGTCGATGAAACTCGGTTTCGTGAGATGCATGAAAGTTGATCATTTTGGTTGTTTTTGTTTAAAATTACCAACAAGTATGGAGCTTTCTGATCTAGTGCTCAGGGTTGAGAGTCAAATTCCTCTCGTTCTACCTTGGTGATGCTATTTGTAACAGCCCAAACCCACCACTGGCCGATATTGTTCTCTTTGGACTTTTCCTTTCGGGCTTCCTTCAAGGTTTTTAAAATACGTCTACTAGGGAGAGGTTTCCACACGCCCATAAAGAATGCTTCGTTCTCCTCTCCAACGTGGAATCTCACAATCCATCTCTCTTAGGGGCCAGCATTCTCGCTGGCACTCTTTCCCTTCTCCAATCGATGTGGGATCCCCTCATCCACCTTCCTTCGAGGCCCAGCGTCCTTGCTGGCACACCGCCTCGTGTCCACCCCCCTTCAGGGCTCAACCTCCTTGCTGGCACATCGCCCAATGTCTAGCTCTGTTACTATTTGTAACGGCTCAAACCAACCGCCAGCAAATATTGCCCTCTTTGGGCTTTTCCCTGTCGGGGTTACCCTCAACGTTTTTAAAACGTGTATGCTATAGAAAAGTTTCCACACCTTTATAAAGAATACTTCGTTCTCCTCTTCAACCGATGTGGGATCTCACACGCTTTTTTAAAAATCCAAAATAGTGAGTTTCAAGATAACTTTGTAAGCATGTGTTTATACCATCATATGGATGACTCTCTCTCTCTCTCGTTTTTAGTCAAGAAGCTTGATAATCAACTGAGCTCAATTTATGCTTATGTGACACTTTGATGCAGCATTTGATATATATATTGCAAAAATAATCGTGTTTTTTTCTTTCATATCTGGGTGTTGTATTTGGAATAATAGAAGCTTGTAGAGCTTATTTTTTAATGGATGAATGCTATAGGACTATGTCCCAGAAGACATCGAAAGCATTTCAAGCTTTGAACCTCCTCAGTCCCCAGAGTCCAGTTACAGCAGTTTGCAGCTTGGATCTGAAGATTTTTCAAAGGAGCCACCACTGGCTCCTCCCCACTTGAAAACCACACTGCTCGACATGCCTTCCCCATACAATGAAATCTTACCTCCTATATCAAGACCTCAGCATGTTGTGCTGAATCATCTTTACATGCAGAAGGAAAGGGGTGGCCCCTCCGTCGTCGCACTCGGGATGACTCACCGGTTCCTTGCCAAGTACGTAACCGTCGTGCTCTATAAATCCTTGCAGAGACAACGTTAGAATAGGCATCCTGTGTAATCAAATTCACAATCTAAACCCATTTTTCCTTACTGGAGCTCTATATGGTGTCGATGCCATTTCGTTTAAACACTTCTGAATCAACCACGAAGTCTGAATGGATCGTTCTTCAAGATTGTACCTTACATAATACCATCTCTCCTTTTTCTATCTGACATGCATTTTATCCAGTTGCTAAAATTTCCCCTTCCTTGTAGCAGGATCATCTCACTCCCTCTCCCTCTCCCATTTGTCTCGATGGTTGCAAGTTTTGCTAATGATGGTTGCAAGTTTTGCTAATGAATACAAATGCAGCTTTGTAATAGTTCATAGTTCATTCAAACCTACCGCTATCGCTATAGATATTGTCTACTTTAGTGTGTTATATATCATTGTCAGCCTCACAGTTTCAAAACACATCTTTTAGGGAGAGATTTTCACACCCTTACAAGAAATGTTTTGTTCTTCTCTCCAACTGATGTAGGATCTCTGTTACAAATGGTATCAAAGTTAGACACCAAGCGGTGTGTCAAGAACGCTGGACCCTCAAGGGAGTGGACTGTAAGATCTCACATCGGTTGGAGAGGGGACGAAGCATTGCTCATGAGGGTGTGGAAACATCTCCCTAGCAGACACGTTTTAAAATCGTGAAGCTGTCGACGATACGTAATAGGCACAGACAATATCTCCTAGCTGTGAGATTGAGTTGTTACAAATGGTCGATGCCAGTAAGGACGTTGGACCCTAAAAGGGGTGGATTGTGAAATCTCACATCGATTATTGGAGAGTGGAACGAAACATTTCTTACAAGAATATAGAAACCTGTAACAAACGCGTTTTAAAATCGTACCGCTTGGAGATTAATATTAACCATTAACCTTGCTTGCATTACTGAGATACAAAGTATCTGAGAAGGTACAAAACGGCAAATTAAGCCAAAAACAAAATAGAATTGCAGTCTACATTATTGAACACGCATTTGGATTCTCGTCACTGAAAAGCCGCTCAGGCACATATGCATACTCAGTGTAGTATTTGGTTGATGGCCAATACTCAAGCCTCTTGATATCAAACTTCTTATCATCTTCTTCCTGAGTCTCCTTCTTCTCCTCTGGTTTCTCTTCAGCCGCTGGTTTTTCCTCTTCCTTCTTCTCCTCTTCCTTCTTTTCTTCCTCCTTCACTACTATGGAAGCCGGCCTTCGGCTTCTCTTCGAAACATGGTCGACCAGCTTACTCGGGTCCATAACCCCTTTTACAATCACCTGATTGCTAGCTAGTTCTGTTTCCACAGACTCTACACCTGCAAACAAACCACAAACACACATCCCTCAATCTTTCTTACGCGTTTCGCTTCTTTAAAACTATCATTCTACCTTTGAACTTCTTGATTCTCTTCTTTAAAACTTGAGCACAAGCCTCGCAGTGCATCTGCACGTTCAGTACCACTGTTACCACTGCTGGAGGTGGAGGAGCCTGCATCAAATTTTGTATACTTAAGAACTAATTAGGAAACAAAGTTGGTCCCAGCAGAAGGGATTTTGGCCATGTATTCAATGTAATGTTTAGCCCGTGAGTAGAAGGCAATAATGGGTGGGTGGGTGTGTGTGGGGTCAAAGGGGTTTGGAGGCCATAAATAAGAGCTACAGCTACAGAAACAGCAACATCCATCCAGCTCTGTTCTTGTGTAATGTGCATATCAGTTCTGTGGAACCAAAGGGAAGAGAGAGAGCTCAGAGACTGAAACAGAGGGGGCTGAGAGGGTGAAGTGAGGTGGAGTGGGGTCTCCATTCTCAGGCCTTTTTCATTTGTTTTGTTTTGTTTTGTTTTATTGTTTTCATGTCAGTTTCCCCCCCAACTCTCACTGTCTTCCTCTTCATTTCCAACTTTGAATTTTTACCTCAGTTTCTAACATTCAATCTTTCAATTCATTTCTCTGACAGCCAACAAAAGGACCCAATTATGAACCCAGAGAAGAAAAAAGCTTCAGACAATTGCCTCTGCACTTGGAGGTACTTGAACTCAAGATGCTCAAATTTCTCTCAAGTACAAGCTTTTATGAATTTGCATTACAATTTATCAATATAAATCTCAGTGTTCTTGTTCCTCTAATTTCCTAATCATATTCCTGTGTTCATCACTGTAATTCAAACGTTCAAAGAAAGAAGATGTGAGATTTCACACCGTGTAGTATGTCAGCAAGAACGTAAGGCCCTAAAAGGGGTTGGATTGTGAGATCCCACATCGTTTGAAGAAGAGAACGAGTATCAGCAAGGACACTAGGCCCCAAACAGTTCCACCTCTCTCTAGGAAAGCCTATAAGGAAAAGTAGTATGAGGGTATAGATAGGGACCTAAGATTGAAGCTCAGCCATCCTTTTTGTTCATCTTTCACACTCTTTTGTTTCCTTTTGTGAAAGTTAAGAAAGTGAGTGGGATTTGCACATATGCATGGATGATATGTAGAGTAAAGTGAAAGTTAAAGGCTTAAAAGGATGTTGATGACTTTACCTCTTCCTTTTTCTCTTCCTTTGGCTGTTTGTCATCTTCTTTAGGTTGTTGCTCCTCGGGAGCAGGCTTAGGCAATGGCGAGATTAGCTCCACTTTTCTCCCACTTTTCTTCTGTAATCTCTCACAAACCTTCAAAGGGTCTGCCTCTTTCCCTTTCACCACCACCTTCCCTGCTCTGCTATCCGTTGTCACATTCTCCACTCCTTCAACCAAATTAGAACAGCACAACACCTTTATACTCAAAACAAAACAAAATGCAACTTAATCGAGGTGAAGCTGACCTTGGAAGCCCTTGAGGGCTCTGGCCACTTTTCTGGCGCAGGCTTCGCAATGCATATCCACTTTGAGCACAATTTCTGGGGGCGATTCATCTTCGTTTTTCTTGCTCTCTTGTTTCTTTTCTTCTTCTGGGGTTGTTGCAGCTGCTGATTCAGTGGCTTCCTTTTTCTCTTCTTTGGCTTCTTCCTTCTTTTGATCTTCGCCTTCTTCCTTCTTCTTAATTTCCTGAAATGGGTACCCAAATTGTTTAAATTTTAGTGGATGATTGAGTGGATGATGATGATGAAGAGGGAGAATTTTGCTTACTTCACCCATGGCTGAGGCGGAGAGCTCTGGGTAGCGGTGGGTGTTGTTGGCTGAGGCGGAGAGCTCTGTGTAGCGGTGGGTGTTGTTGGCTTCGGCTGCTGTCTCTGGGTCTGTGTGGGCGAGGGAGTCTGGATTTATGGGCGTGGGAGAAGAGGAGAAGAGAAGAGAAGGGGTTTTGAAAGCTGGGTAATCTGCAAATCTGACGTGGCGCCATTTAATGCAGGCACCCCATATGTCCCTTTGTACTCACTCTACTTTCCAATTTTGCCCTTCACTTTCAAATTTTTGAAAATATATAATTATGTTCTAATTTTTTAAAATTTTCAAAATTTTAAAAACTAATCTAATTTTATGACTACATTTAATTTTTTTTATTAAACATATTTATAAATTTTAAGAAAATTTAAAGCTAGAAGGTTATATTTGTAATTTTTAAAGTTTAGAAAGGTGCATGAACCATTTGTGGAAACTTCTCCAACATATGTGTTTTAAAATTATAAGGTTAACGTTGTCAAAACGAATAATATTTGCTAGCGGTGAGCTTGAGTTGTTATAAATGGTATTAGAGCCGGACACCGAGCAGTATGCCAACAAGAACACTAGACCTCCAATTAGAGTGGATTGTGATATCCTACCTCGGTTGGATAGAGGAACACACTAATCCTCTAAGGATTAGGTTTGTGAATTCATAATTAGTCTACTTTAAATGTTTTAATGTTCGACCATCCACTAAATATGGATATGGTGAGGAGTTGACTTATAATTTAACCTATAAATAAGCAACTATATAACCTATAAATAAGCGGGTACAGACATGATTTTTTTTTTTGTGAGATTGTCATACACCATTGTATTAATATGACAAAAATAATACAAATCTAGCTACACATGGACAGACAACACGTCATAAATAATCATGATCAGAACATCCAATAGTCTGAGGCATGCAATACATAATTATGCATGGCTCCTTAAAATTACCTATAAAATAGTATTATTATTATTGTGGAAAAGATAAATTTTTATTTGGTAATTATATGTTGTAATTTTTTTTATGTAATTTTAAATTATTTATTAAAAAAAAAAAAGTAAAAATCTCACTAAACTCACAAATTACATTAAGTATTCCAACTTTTATTTTGGCACTATCTCACCACAAGTTTCAATAAAAAAAAATAATAAATAAATAACGAATATTTATAAATAACAGTTCCTTTTGTAATCTGTGAGTTATAAAAAGCAAATAGCAAACATGTAAATATATAATATATATATATATATATATATATATATATATATATAAAGTGTAATTAAAAAAGGTACATATTGTACTAATAAAATTATCTACTTTTAAAACTTTCTAAAAATACATAATCGCTAATTTTAAATGTCAAAAATATTATATATATATATATATATATTAAATTTTAAGTCAGTATTATATTTAAAAAATTTATTAAAAAAAAATATTTAGAATCTTTTTACCTTTCATAGATTATATCCAAAATTTTTAATTACTTTTGAAAAGTCAGCTCTGAGTTCGAGTGACATTTCACCCCTAACCACAACTTAGCCAGTGAATCTTGAACATCAGTTGGTTAGACCTCCACTTAGTTTCACCCAAGCTTCATCTTGGTCATAGATAGATCATCCACGTTCAGGTCCATAGGCAGTAACAATTGCCCCATAAAAACTCGTTTTCGCTACCGTTCCAGTGGGTTCCTTTAACCAAGCCACTGCACATTAAAAGGTATTTTTTAAAAATATTTGTATTATATATATATATGCGAATTTATTTAGAATTTTGTTATAAAAAGAAGGGAATTTATTTTCCCAATTTATAGACACAGAGTTAAATACAAAAAAACAAAAATGAGGTCATCATGAAAATGAAATTCACCCACTAACCAAATTATTGTACCACGAACAAAAAAATGAATGGGTTGTAAAGTGAAAGGAGAAATGGTTTTATCCTTTTTTTTCTTCTTTTTTTCTTGAGAAAAGAGAAATAATTTTTTAAAAAGGTGTGGATTTATAAAATTAAAAAAAAAAAAAAAAAAAAGTATATAAAGTTATTTTTAGGTATGGTTGGTGGATGGAAATTAAATTGCATAATGATAAGAAATGGAGCCCACCAACCCATTACATTCCAAGCCCAACCCACTACAACTTTTCATTTGGGTCTCCTCTCTGGCCCTCTTCTTTAACCACTTCCCCTACCAATGCCCACCGGCCCCACTTACACACTCATCCCCACGTACTCCTCATAACTTTAAAACCCTATATATATATATATATCTTAATTTATTTTTTTTTAACTAAAATTATGTCTATTTATTAATATATTTCTTTCGTTTCGTTTATTTATGATGTAATAAAAATGTCGATTTATTTATTTCGAACAATGTCGATGATTTCGATGTGGAGATTGGGAAGGAGTGGAAATGAAATGGCAGGCTTTATGAAAAAGGAGGGAAAAAGTGAAATGGCTTGAAATTTTGTAGGAACCTCCCATTCACTAAAGACGTCGTATATTCCAAAATTTCATGTACATAGCTAAAAAGCAATGCTCAAACTTGTCGTTTATTTATATTTACACCCCACTCTCCTATTTATTAAATATTTATATCACTCAAATTTTTATTTTTATTTTTGTTGTTAATTCAATCAATTATACCCTTTAATACAATTTTATTTTAAGCTTGTTATTATATATTTTCGCACCTAATGTGAAAATTAATGTATATTAGAGTTAAAATTAAATGATTGTACATTTCTTTAATTTAAAGAATAAAAATAGTATTAAATGAAAAATAAAAATTAATGACTTTCTACCGTAATATGATATTGTCCACTCTAAAAGTTTTCACGAGAGAGTATTCCTTAATTATAAACTCATCATTATTCCCTAAATTAGTGGACGTCATACGTTTTTTTTTTCTTTTTAATTAGAATTTGATGCAACTGCAACCTGGAACATATGAAGCCCTATTTTCCAGCCTGGATTTCGGCTGCCCGCTGCCCAGCCCACCAGCCCAAATTTCTGCATTATTATTATTATTATTATTTTGTAATTAAAGGGTTTTTACTATATAATAATTATATTTGTTTATTATTATATATACACATAATTTATTAAAAAGGCAGATTAAATACCGTATTGTTAACGTCTTTATTTATGTTTATTAAATAAAATAATATATGATGACTTCATATTGACGTTTTTGCCCTTGCAAGTATAAAAGAATATTTGAAAATGATTGTTTATTTCCATATATAACCCCAAATCCCACTACCATTATAAAAAGAAGCACGTGAGCTTTATTTTTGGATAAGGGAATTGTTAAACCCATACTAAATTTGAATAAGATGATAAGATTGGTTAATAAGAGATGGAAACCGTATTATCCACTTAATTAAACTTAATTAGATTAGGTAATAAATAAATTCCGTTTAATTTGGTCCATTATTGTATAAGACTAAAACTATGATATTAATTTATCATCCAATTAAAATAATTTAACATATCTAACATTATTAAGTGATTGTTTAAGTTATATATTATAAAATATGAGCTAAATATAGAAAATAGTTAATTTTAAAATATTGAGAATGTTAATAAAAGTTGTGAAAGGAAGAAAAAAATATTTAGAAATGTGTTTTGAAATAAATATTAATACATAATAAAAATATTTTTGAGTTACTTTTAATAATTTTTAGATAGTTTAAATTATTTAATTAAATAATTTACTATTAAATGAGTTGAAAGTTAAAAGTTAAATTTTTAAATGAAAATGGTACTAATTAAAAGCTAAAGGACCCACGTCATTACTCACTGACAAGAAACATTGACCAATCGGAAGCTTCTGATCCGGCGGCACGTGGCAACCACGTGATTTCGCGTGTGTCACTTGTAACCTTTGAAAATTCTTCCCAAAATTAAAAAAAATTAAAAAGAAAAATACTAAATTGGCAAACAAATTCCTGGAATTAGTCCACGTGGCATGTGATAATTGGATGATTCTATTTATGTTTCATGAACTCCTTTCTGTTCCTGTTCTGTTTCATAGTCTCTGCCGTATTTATGATCCCCATTGACCTGTTTTCTTTTGGTCTTCCTCCATTTAAGCTCAGTTCCAGATCGGAGCAGCTTCACTTGAGCTTCAGCCATGGAGGAAAAGGTATCTTCTTCCTTGATCTCCTTCACCGGCGCACTGATTTTGATATCACTTTCTAAAAATTCTAACTTTTTTTTGTTGCAGACGGTGCTCATGGTGTTGAAAGTTGACCTCCAATGCGATCGTTGTTTCAAGAAAGTCAAGAAAGTTCTTGCCAAAATTCCTCGTACGTCGTCGTTCCATTAACAATTTTATTGCTGAATCTTTACCCACTTACGTTTATAATTTTTTGATTCTAGAAATTCGAGACCAGGCTTATAATGAGAAGCAAGGAATCGTGTTGATCAAAGTTGTGTGCTGTAAGCCTGAAATGATTATGAACAAAATTTGCTGCAAAGGGAATGGATCCATTAAGAGCATCGAGATCAAAGAGCCTGAAAAGAATAAAGAAGAGAAGAAAGGAGGGGAAAAGCCAAAAGTGGTGGCGCAACTGGTTCGAGGCTATTCGCCGCCGCCCGACTCTGTTTATTGCTATTCATGTTACGAAGGTCGACCCTGTTACCGATGCCACGTCTACGGGATTCCGGCGGCACCGCCCTGCTATGTCGGGATGCCGGTTTATGACAGCTACGGCGGTGGGTACGGTGGAAGTGGGTACTGTCATACCGGGTGCTCTGTTATGTGAATCCAATCTGCTATGAGACCCATGTTCGTCCGGAGGGTAAATTATGAACAATCTTGAAAATTTGTGCCCTTTTTGTTTTTTTGTATTGAAACTAAATTGGTTTCTTTTAAGAAAATAAAGAAAATGAGCAACGTTGTGTCGCGATTTTCGGTCTTTGAATGATCTTTCGAAACTAGCGTTCACGTCTCTTTTTCAATCTTTCTAATTCGTAAGGCATTCATAAGTCTCTTGTCGGAGCTAACGGAAGTGATAGCGCCAAACTTTTACCCGCCCGCTTCCTTTATGTTATTGCCAACGCTTTCCTAGGTCAAGTCGGAGTTCTTTATGAGAAAGGGCTTCTAGTACGATTGGCTCTATGTTCTCTTTGTTGAGGATTATTGAGAGTGGGTTCCACGTCTGTAATTTAGTAGAAGATCATGGGTTTATAAGTGAGAAATACTATCTCAAGGCCTTTTGGGGAAGCCCAGAACAAAGCCACGAGAGAATAGACTCAAAGTAGACAATATC